CGCAGAGCACCATGCCTGACAGCTGGATTCATTTTGCTCTGCGTATGATCATTGCGAAATGCTCATCTCAGCTGAAAAAAGGCATTTTACACTCTGCCTCCCCAGAGAGGGTACTTGCATGCTGCCTTCAGCCCTCTCAAATGTCAAACAAGCCATTATTGAATCATAAAGGCTTCCTGGCCCACAGCCAGGCCAGGCCAGAGTGCTGCCTTCAGCACTCCCCAATTAAAAATGCATTCTTTTCACCGCACTGACGTTTGTGCGTTCCAAACACAAGCGACACCTCTGAGGGTTAATCTTTCAGAGGAAGTTTAATCGCGCAGAACCGGGCAGGGGGTCCTAGCCGGCCATCTCCGTGCGGGATTCCAGCTCACCTCCTGAGGGGGTGCCAGTGAGCCCCTGACCTCCTTGCCTCTGCTTTTGGAAACATCTATCCCCTGGGGGATCTCATCACAAACCGTATCAGAGGAAATGGAACTGCAATTTGTAACGGCCTCTTTTTTTTGGGGGGGTTGCGCTTGCTGGATGTTCCTTGCCGTGTAGAAGGAAGGTAATGAAGATTGCACAAGGGAATGTTGGTACTCTAAATTTAATCTAATTTAGCATTTATAACTTTCTGTAAACAGACCATATATCATATATTACCATACGTGAATCGAGTACAGGAGAACAGGTGTACTGTCCAGCACTAAAGTTGAGAGCTGACCATTAAAAAGACTGGGTAGCAATTTCCAACGCTACTTCTCCCAACAGACCACTCACCTGCAGCCCAGGTGCAGAGGGTAGAGTGATAATACATTTGCAAATTAGAATCAGCACTCATTAAAGGTACAGGACTAATAATCGACCGTTACAAATTGAGGTTTTTCGAATTTTAATCACTGGGTGAGTGTGACAGTGCACACACTGGGAGGATAAAATAAATTAATGTTATTCACTATTCAGCTCCCCCTCACAAATTAAACAGGCTGAAACAAGGAACAGAACACACACTGTACCAAAGAGGGTCTCCTGAGGAAGGTACGCTACAGTTACAGTTAGCACATGGTAATGTCAGGCCAGTCACTTAGCGCTACCACACAGTGAAAAGATGCGGCATTTGACTGACTTCTGGAGACAGGAAATGACCCCTTCTCTTTGAAAGCTGTTCTACCCCCTCTGCCCCCGGACCAGCCACGCCTCCCCCTCCATCAAAGCCCTTTGACAAGTATAATTGATCAATCAGGCTAATTGGCTGGTCTGCACGGCTGGTTTATGGCAGGAGAGGAGCCTAATTTGCATTCATTAGGAGAGGGAGATGGAGCTTCTCTGTGCTTATCGTGCATTTCTATTCTTTCGGGAGAGTAACAGCTAAAAGAATCTGTCCACATCGTGGCACTAGCTCTACTGCTTCCCACTGTCCTGAGAAAGGGACGTTAATATTAGTCTGTTCCCACTTTACTGCATGTACTTGTCTAGGTAGTATAGCGGTACTCCATTTTTCTTTCTGTAATTGTATTTGAGATGCAATCCTAGTTCAGATTAGTTGGCTCGCGTCACTGACCTTGTGCTCAGCTTCAGCACTATTTGCATTATATATGACCTGTACACATCTTGCTCTTGTGCCTGTTGTTTGCTCACTATTTGCACTTTTGTACGTCGCTTTGGATAAAAGCGTCTGCCAAATAAATAAATGTAAAATGTAAATGTAAATGTCCTGCTACTGATCCAGTATGTGTCTGTCAGACGCACCCAGCTGTAGAAGTTAGCAGTGTGGCATTTGAGTTTGAGCATTTGAGGTTGGATGTGCTTAAACCTGACTCTGCATCTACAAACTTTAGACATGGCACAACAGTAGGAGGTCATTTGTGCCAGACAGGCCAAAGGGACAGGGTGGAGTGTGTGTGTGTGTGTGTGTGTGTGTGTGTGTGTGTGTGTGTGTGTGGGTTGTGAATAGAACAGGAAAGGTCTCCTTTCTTTAAACACAGTCAATACAAGTCAATGCAACATTCCATTACGTATGACATCACAATTGCACTGGAGGGGAACCAGCTCGCCAGTGTGCCAAGATCAAATTAGTCCTGTCTTAAATGCTGTTAATTTTGATACTAAGTTTGTATTTTTCCATCTTTCTAATGCATGACACTATAACTGACTTTTGTTTGTTGGTCTTTTTATTATTTAATACATTTCAAATGATTATTTTATAACTGTCCCATCTGTTTAAAATGGGTTCCCATGAAGCTGTAAATTTTTGATAAACATACACATATCAGCTAATACAGATGCTGGGCAAAAATAATATAATATATACCAGTAAAGCATTATACCCAGACACCTGCATAATTCTCCCATGACACGATTCATTAGTGAGCAGACAAACATTAAGAAACCACTTGGGTCTTTGTCAGGTCACATGGGAAGTGTATGCTACATGTGCAGTCTGGCACCCTGACAATTATTTTGCCTCTTAGATGAGCTTAATAACTGCTCCTAACAGCCACGACCCCAGACAATCTGCACTCATCCAGGATCAGACGCATCGAGGCCAGCTAATGGAACTCGAGCATCACCTCCTGCATGACATCACTTCCCCCCACCCCGGGACAGGAAGAGGGTGATGAGTAAACTTCCTTCAGAGCCCACAGCCCTCCGTCTCCCACTGACTTCCTTCCCCCTCTTCCGACCTCAGCCTTCAAACGTCGCGGAGCCAAAGCTCAGCTTCACCGCAGGCCCTCTCGCAAACGTGACTCCGCCGTGCGACGGAGCAGCAGCGCACAGGTGCACACACACACGCCCTGCTCAGCTCCTATCTCTGCGCCCCTGTTACGCTCCTTCTCTGGAATCTGATTTCAGAGCTGATAGCGTGCGGCTTGCAGTCTCACTGCGAACGACACGCAGGAGTGAAAAAAAAATGACGTTGTGGACAGCACTAAGGAAACCAGACCCTGTGGGAGCACAAGCGAACCGAAAAGCTACTCATTTCTGTCATTAAAAACCCTCACAACAGCTGCCAGCAATGGACACATCTTTCTCACAATTCTTAATCATTTAGACGAAAAAAACACTGTCCAAATACCCTTCATTGCTCATCAATGAGTAACAAGATAGCGCAAATATAACTTGTGTTGATGCTTGAATGGTGTTGTGCATGCACTCACTGGTCTGGGAGCACTGCTAACCAGGTCTGGTACTACTGCTGATGTAAGCTGGATGGCTCTTGTGTTCACTCATCTGCTTTGTGCATGTCATGTAATGTAATGCAATGTAGTTGTGTGTAGTGTAAGTAGTGTGGTTGCTGGTTTGATTCCCTGCTGGGGCATTGCTGCTGTACGCTTGGGGAAGGTACCCAATGCAGAAATGCCTCAGTAATTCCAGCTGTATAGATGGATAAGATAGTAACCGTATGTAAGCCACTCTGGATGAGAGTGTCTGCTAAATGGCAATAAGGTAATGTTACATTAACACCCTTTAAAAGGAGCACAGAAGACAATTACACTGGTGAGTAAGACCGAGTCAACAGACATCACAACTTCGGCCTGTTTGCACTGAAAGCAAACACATACACACGGATTTTTACACCGATTTTCTTTGGACAATTCCATGAACAGGGTAGCAGGAAGGCGGTTGTGGGGGGTACCAAACTCCCAAAGCCTTCCTCCCACATCGCCTGTCCGTGCCATTAGCAGACTGTGCATTTGCCTGTGGGCACACTTGATTTGTTTACCCTGCCAGAAAAGCGAGGGCAAACTTAACCAAAAAGCCCTGTCAGTGGGCAGTGCTTTTTACATACTGATCCCACCACTATTTGCAACTTGGCATGTTAGCTAAATAATGTTACTGACACAAATTTAACTAACGTAAACTTCAATTTAACTATCTATCTTTTTTACCTACCGTAACTATTATTGCAGTACTTCCCTACAATTCACTTTTGGACTGCATTAATATGTTGATTATTCATGCTGATTGCAGCTGTTGTGTGCTTATATTTTAGCCCTGATTTCCAGCTTGAGGCTCGGCCTCTGTGTTACTGGCTGCTATGTGTCTGAGTTTCTGTTGTTCCTGGTGCTCTTTGATATGTACGTAATGTATCCCGGCGGCAGTGTAGCATAGTGGTTAAGGAGCGGGACTCGTAACCGAAAGGTTGCCAGTTCGATCCCCGCTGGGACACTGCTGCTGTACCCTTGGGCAAGGTACTTAACCCACAATTGCCTCAGTAAAATATCCAGCTGTATAAATGGATATCATTGTAAAAGAACTGTAACCTATGTAAGTCGCTTTGGATAAAAGCATCTGCCAAATGAATAAATGTAAAATTAAATAACAGTCAAAAACTGTCCTTTTCTTTCCCATAAATATCCCAACAGTTGCATGATGGTGAGCGCGGTTTGTAGTTTAGTACAGTAAGCATTCGTAGTTCATCTGTACAGATGTGATGCCTCTGGTTCGGGAGAGCTGGAAACGGAGGTCGTGCAGGAGGGTGAGCGGTTCGGCGCGGGGGGGCAGCCTCCTGCTTGGAATTCCCCCCGCACACAGAGGGTGCGCTATGTTCCGAGCCCCGCTGTGAGGAAGGGGGGGGCTTCTATGACATCACTCTGGTTTGGCAGGGAGGGACAGATTGCATTTCCCCCGTGTAGAACGCAGGCCGTAATGAGATTACTTTAATGACCCGCACCGTCCTTTTCATTTGCGGGGCACGTTAAATTTGATTTAGAGCGGAACGACGGTTTCGACCCTTTGACATTTGCTGGAGAGGCTCAACAGCAGACCTGCGTCGGTCTGATAAATATCTCTCTACTGAGCCTCTTCAGGAAGCCGGCGCTCAACAGCTGGTACCCCATACAGCATAAAAACTTGAGATGTTTCTTCTTCAAGCCTTGGCTATGCTAAAGGTACATTAGATTATTGTCAGTTACAGATGCTATTACCCACAGCAACTTACATAGGCAAGTTTTAACGATTTTTACAGCTGGATATTTACTGTGGGTTGAGTACCTTGCCCAAGGATACAGCAGCAGTGCCCAAGCAGGGAATCGAACCCTAAACCTTTCGGTTATGAGCACTGCTCCTTACCACTATGCCACACTGTCACCTACAAGCCCTTGCAGGACTGTGTCTAGTATTATTTAGCATTATTTTAGCATTATTTCTATTACTACTATTGGATATTGCTGCTAACAGCTGCAGTGGAATACATACAGCATAATGATCTGAGAAAAAGCACACTCCAACACTAGTGGACAGTGCACGGACAACTGGTGTCCTTGTGACGTGACTGGCCGAGGAACGGTGTGATATCAGTGTCACAGGCACCCTAGCGAGCTCAGGTGTGCTCTCCTGAAAGGTAAGTATACTGCCCACAGCTCCAGAAGAGCGAGGCCAGGACTTTACCTGATGGGTTCTGTCGAGACGAATCACAGCCGCTATTCGAGAATAATCTCCTGTGCACCACGAAATGAGACATCTACAAGGAAATCTCTCTACCTCATCTCTCAAAGATCCTGAGCCTCCCGCGACAGAAGGAAAGCTCTCTGCCACGATCAGATAAGATGCAGTTGGTCTTGTGGACATGTTGAGGCAGCAGTGGTGTGTGTGGCTAAACTCCTGCTGATTAGCAAGCTGCACCCCACACGTGGTGGAGCTGTTGAATGATATCTTTGATGGTACAATAGCATTGTGTTCGTGCAATTAAGGGATCAGCCCAGAGGGTTTTAGGCTGGAATACAGGATGAGATGTTTTACCTTTTAAGATACTTCACCTTGCTTTAGTAAATACCTAGCTGGACAAATGTATAAAATACCTTAAATGGATAAAATAAATACTTCTGAAAAGATAATTATGCATTATCATTGTTACTCATCTTTCACCAGGGCAATGTATTGAGTTAATATTTTTATTTATTAATATTAATATTTTATTTATATTTACACCTACTGAAGTATACCAGGTTAACGCTTTGTTCAAGGGTACATTAGCAGCACTTGGGAACGTGACCTTTAGCTTTCTGAGTAAAAATCTTTCTTTCTTAACTACAAACCAAACCAAAACCACCACCCCCTCAGTACAGACCCCAAGTCCTGATAAAAAAAACAAACTCATCCTGGCACATATCCAAGCAGCAAGCCTTTTTGGCAATTTGCTTTTAACACAGATTCAAAAGAAAGAGAACGAGCGAGAGAGAGAGAGAGAGAGAGAGAGAGAGAGAGAGAGAGGGAGAGAGAGAGAGGGAGAGAGAGAGATGGGGAGAGAGAGGGAGAAAGACAGAGAAACAGAGAGACAGATGGAGAGACTGAGAGGCAGGGAGTGAGAGAGAGAGTGAGGCAGAGATAGAAGGAAAGAGAGAGAGAGAGGGGGGAACAAAGACGCCCGTGATGGAGGCCAGGGGTGTCTAATTGGCTGGTGGTCTTTCTGAAGCTGCAGTGAGCAGATGATGCAGCATGGAGAGTCGTGTTATCATCTCCATGACTCAAAGACACAGGAGCTCAGCTGACGGCTGATCTCACTCCTCTGAAGTAAAAATACGTCCATTGACAACATGTAGAGAGTGCCGCTCTTTCGAGCTTCCTGTCATGCAAATACAATGATACCACCACACATACAGGGATCCTGCCAACTAAAACTGCCATGCAGGAAGAAGGAACCCAGGTGTCAAACCAGGGCTAGCCTCCACCAATGGTGAATTCTGGTCTTAAAATCATACCAAAGTCCTGCCTGACAACTAACGCCTAAATTAAGATAAGAGAAATTAAACCAAGTAGTTTAAAACCAAGTAGTTTAAACCCAACTCCTGTGTCATCTTCATGACCAAAGCCCGTTTTGACTTAATGAAAATAATAATAACAACGATAATAAGCTACACAAGAGGCCTGCTTACTTTAAGAACAGAGGCAGTGCATGCACATGTTCTGAATAAAACACGAAGCTAGAATACACTCATTCTGCCATAGCGCGGACTCTGACGGCAATCAGAACACTGATCTGGGCTTTGGAGTAAGACTCTGGAAACATGTCCATGTTTTCTCCTTGGCTGATAGCTGCTTTGCTTAGTCACTCTGATGCTCAGGATGTGGGTGACCCATTTGTACCGGTAGGCATATACTTCATCTGCTCTCTACCATGAAAAAATACTCTCTTACATTATAAGCAAGTTCTTCTGTGCAAGACAAAAATTGCCTTTATGAAAAAAAAACAGCTCTGTAAAGACTGGTGAGCCATTGTACTGTATTTTTATTGTATTTTTTTATCGTATTTTTATTATATTGTTATCTGTACTTCTTTGCCTTATTCTTCTTTTCTGCTGCTGTCAACACCCAAATTTCCCCGCCTGGGGATCAATAAAGGGCTACCTCATCTTATCTCATCTTATCTTATCTTATCTTATCTTATCTTATCTTATCTTATCTTAACGTGTTTTCTCTTAATTTGTATGGTTGTGTTCGATTATTTGCATTATTGTTCATGTCACTGCTTTGGCAACACAGTGCTTGTCTGCCCTGCCAAAAAAGCACCTTTTTTATTTGAATTTGAATTTGAATTTGAATTTGAAAAATGTATAATGTGTTCCCTGCGTAACAACGGCAGACATGGCGCTACCCAGCAGGCCTCTCACCTCCACAATGTCGGAGTTGGTTCTGCTCTCGTGCGGCTCATTGTACTCAGTGTACTTGAGCAGCACTTTGTCCATGTCGGTGCTGGCGTACTGGAACAGCTTGTTCGAGCTGTTGAAGATGATCAGCGCGATCTCACAGTCACACAGAACACTCAGCTCGTACGCCTTCTTCATCAGGCCGAACTTCCTCTTCGTGAACGTCACCTGGAGGGGATTGGGGGGAGAGACAGACACAGGTATTCTCAGTAAGAAACATGTCATTGTATGGCATTAGCACAGCCTACACCTGTCCCACAAAACTGTTAACTGTTTAAATGTTTCAGGATCTTATGTTTTTTCCAGCCCTGTCAGTTTTTTTAAAAACAAATGATTGTTTTTATAAGTTTCACTTCTTGTGTGTTTTTTTTTTTTTTTTTTGCAAGTAGCATCACCATTGCAATACAGTATTCATTCATCTGGAGACTTGGGAATGATGATACACTTTGAAACACAAAATGACAGTAAAAACACAGCTGGTACACATAGCATTACACACGCAGAGTACTGCACACACACACGCGCACACACACACACACACACACACACACACGCACACACTCACACTATATATATTTTCAGTAAGCAGTCAAAGGGATGAGTGCAATCCGATTAGCTGAAGTTTGAAACCAGCTGAAAAGTGATTAAGGCTCTGCTTTTCTGTCACCGTCTCTCACTGCTTCAGGGCTCTGCGCTCCCAGAGTTTTGCCGATTCTCCCGTGCCGTTACGGACATTCTGCCGTTGCCATGGTGGCAGGTAAATCTGAAGTGAAGCCGCGGCAGTGTGGTGGGGCGGCTGTGGATCTGCTCGCAACAGCCAGGTTTGCGGCACCTTAACCTGTCACACCTTGGTAAGCATCCTGCTGCATGAAGCAGACTTTACAGGTGAGAAACGGGCAAAAATCCCTCTTCAGAAGAGCCAGCACCTTGTACAAATCCACAGGAAGAGTTTAGCCAGTGTAATCTGAGCCAGGCGAGGACTTACAAAACACCAACTACAGTGTGTGAATGGATGTGACAGTCATGATGAAAGGAAACTTTAACATTCTTAACCCCAGCGCACATGCACAAGCACACACACACATACACACATATAGATAATATGTATTATATATATATGTAAATATATAATAAATAAGGTAACAAAATCCAGTCCAAACCTCACTGATTCTCTACAAAAGCAGCAAGACTCTTAATACACAAATAAACCAACACTTATACCAACAAACCAACAAAATGCAGTAGGTATTTACAGGTAGCGTTAATACTACTTGTAAATACCTTTTGCTTTGGCTACTATGCTATTTTAGCTATTTGGTAATTTACTCTTATGAGAGAATGAATATATGAAGTTAGACTAGTAGACAAGAGCATTTGTAGCAATCTTCCAGCAATATGAAATAGACCTCTGTCCTTTAGTTGCCTTATGCCATTCAATAGTATATACAAGTTTAATCTAAATAAGTAAAAAGTGCATTAGATAATCTTAGGCAACATCATCAATAACAAGTTAGGAAATGAACCATGTAGATTAGCTAGCCAGTTAGCTGCTAACTGCATGCACATTAACAAAAGTGTGTGTTTTTTTTTTTTTTTTTTTTGAGGGACTGAGCTAAGAAAGGCTTTATATGGATAAAAGAATAGCACTGCAGCTGGACTCAACACCACATAACCCACATGTCCTGTCTATGGCCACCCAGGAATTTGAGATGGGACATAGCTGTTGCCTGCCTGCCTGCCTTCTGCACGCAATGACCCCCCCATGGTTTGAATGCCAGGCCTCAGGGCAGCAGAAACATCTAACCCAAATGAATAGTGCCGGCTTTTCCTTCTTCCTCTGGTATTTTTGTTCACAAAACACTCTGTGAGCGCACAAGAAAAGCTTTAGCATGCTCACACTGCGGCCTTTGTGAAGCGCACGGCGAGGGCCGGAGAGATTCCAGTACGAGTCTCGCCTCAGGCCGCCACTGATCCACCAAACCCACAGCCGACAAATTCACCATCCGAGCAGCAGGCGACGGTTAGGGTACATCCCTGCCAGCAGCCGCCTTCCTTTAAACAATACAAGACCGTGAAATTGTTCCTGCGAGATTCTCTGTTCCTGCTGGCTGCGTTGCCGGGGGCCCCCAGAGGCATCGCGCGGCTTTCCTGACGCTTCTCACTCCTGGTGACGGTGATGCCGCTATGCTGTTTGTGGATCAGAAACACACTGCGTGCCTGTGTGTCTCAGGCACAGATCCCACATCTTTTGAGATACCGCCAGGAAGAAAACTTCTGTAAGGGCCTCCCAAGGGCCTCAGTGCTGGCTCTCAAGCTCCTCAGAGCGACAGGCCATCATTCCTCCTGTCGGACCGGTTCCGCTCTCAGAGGAAGGCAGATGGGCCTGACCCGGTCCGAACCTGGTGCCACAGCAGCCCAGGACCCAGGCCTCTCCGGTCAGCTGA